TGCAATGCTTGGTAAGAAATGTACGCATTATCCTGCCCATGCAATTGTAACCCCTCTGTACAGTATGTTCACAAATAAAATAAAATAAAATTAAAAAAAAAGATTCTGTTTTTTGGAAGTGTGATTACTTGATAGAACTTTCTGTGATTATTAAGTCTCTATGCTCCTGAGAATGCAGAGTGATAATTTATTACTGAAAATGTTTATCATACAGTTCATGGAAATGTAAAAATTATATTAGAGAAATCTAGATCTGGGCTGGATTTAAATAACAAAGCAGCTATAGCTAGAGAGCAAATTAAGAATATAGATTTCCTTAACATCAGTGTTAAATTGTAGTATAATCTTTCAAACTATCATATATATATATATATATATATAACTTAATGTGCTCAAAGGACATTGTATACACACCTGAAAAAGTCATAATTGAACCCATTAAAAATTTTTGCAATAAAGCTAAGACTTGGTGGATTTGAGGAAGAGGGATTAGATATAGTAATATAGAAGGTGAATATGATCAAAGCACTTGTATGGGCATGTATGGAAATATTACAGTGAAACCCCTCACTTTGCATAATTAACATATGCTAATAAAATGATCCTAAAATATATCATTTATTTGTGTTGTTATAATTTACTTACTTCTGAATGTCTTTCAAATTCTGCCAACTTAAAATAATGTTTTGTTCTAGGATAAAAATAGTATAGAAATTGTCTTGCATAAAGGGAAGGGCTCTAGAATATTTCTCGAGATCCTTTTTGATTTCTGTACTTGTCTAGGGAAATAAACATAGGGATATGAACTGAATTTCCTTATTTCCATTTCTGATGAACATACTGATCAACAAAGTACCTTTGTAAAGATATAGCAAGCTTTGTTATTTCTATTTTTTTAGTAATATTTAATTTTATTGTAAAGGTGATGTACAGAGTGGTTACAGTTACACAAGTAAGGTAATGAGTACCCTTCTTGTCAGTTTGCCCTCTCCCTCATTTTCTCCCACTTTCCCTCACCTTCAACTTCCTCACTCCACAAGTTGTAAAGTTCATTTCTAACATTTTGTCTTGTGAGTATCACTGTTGCATTAGTTCATCCTTTGTCCTTTGTCTCACCATTTTGTGATTCTCTTTTCCTTCCCCCAAATCAGATAAACATATATGCAAGATACAGGATATTTTCTTTTGCCTTAGATCTGTCAACTTTATCAAAAGCATTTATCTTCTGTCACTTAAAATGTTTTAAATCCTGAGAAGGTTCTTACCTGTTTGAAAAAATTGGGGCAGGTTTTCAGGACACAGGTTTTCCTCAGCCCTGACTACATATGCAAAAATAAAGGCTTCTGTGATAGAATGCAAATTGCTATTATCCCATAGAAAAAGTTACCATTAAAAATAATTTCTCTCAAAGTGGTCCTGAAAGTGACGTGGGTGACAGGTCAATTTTAGTCACTTTATAGAGATTTCTAATGTTTCTGGCTTCTCCTACATTTCTCTTTCCATCTTTGTCTCTCTCTTGCTATATACATCCTTCACCCCCCAGCTGCAGATATATGTTTACCCTTTAGTTGCTCCTTTATATTCCTCTTCCTTTCAGAAATAGTTATCTTCCACCATATCATCTTGCCTTCTTTAGTATTTTTACTTTTCATATGCATGCTGTTTAATATGCATACCCCATCTTGAATTGCCCCTGTTGTCACCAAACCTCAGAAGTAAACAAGAATATCAACTTATTTGAATCTACCAGTTCAGTAGTCAAACATTACTTAGAAAGAAAAAAAATGTCCTGGTCTGATGAAGATGAAAAGGCAGTTTTCTTTATGATGTCTTTGGGTTTGTATCTGACAGACATTCTAGCAAGTCATACATATCATTTTTTTCTGAATGTTTTGATTTTTCACAGGAATAGCATTCATTAAGCAGAACAGCATTGACGTAGGGAACAAATATGTTTTGCTCGTCTTTTTATGACTCTCTGACAGTCTCCTAAGATAAAGGTAAGTCACCACAATCAGTGTAATGGAAAGAAGCAAGTTCAACATCAGTGTGAAGTCTGGAAGCAAAGGAAGTTGAAGAAAAATCACAGATTATGGAAATGAGTTTATTCCTATTGCAATTATTTAATTATTTCAGTGAACAACCATGATAACCAAAATCAATGTCTCTTTGATTCTCTTGTGAATTTGCTAAGAACATAACAAACATTTGTTTTTCATTTTACTAAGGAAAATCAGTGTTCAGGATTCCAAATTAACCCTATGTGTACTGAGAACATGAAATAATCTGGCAAATCTTTTCCTAGAACATACATACATGTATGCATGCATATATACATACATACATATTTAACTTCCAAGCTTCACTGGCATTATCTTGAAGAGTAAAAAATATACATACCTGCAGAAGATGGTATATCTCTCCACACTTCAAGGACCTTCTTGAACAGTTCTTCATTTTCTTCCACAGAGAGAGCTTCAGGATTGAAGGAGAGCATCACACCAATCCCCAAGCAATCAGGTAAAATGATGATATTCTGTGGTAGAATGATATCCATGGACTGGTATTATGTTTCATAAAAACTTCTATGTCTAACATTTTATCTCTACTCTTTTAATTGAAGCAGCTTAGTTGAGTAATAAAGACCAGAAGCAGGTTTAAAATGCAGGGAGGAAAGAAACTTTTAATTCTGAACTAAATAGCATAACATCTCATCCTTGAAAAAAGTTGCTTTCCTTATGTTCTAAAACAATTACCCTTGAAAATTAAATATTAATTCAATATTTAATATGATTTCATCTGAAAAAGTATAGATATATTTCAAACATAAGTGAATTCTTGAAATTCCAAAAACTATATATATGGTAATGGAAGAAACATTACTTGTTAAAGATATAAACTTAAGATTTATTTCAACAATTAATGAATAATTTAGCAATACACGTGTGAACCAAATAATACAAAGTTCTAGGGTATTAGTTAACTCATTAAAATAAAATAAAAAAACCTAAAAATAGCTTGAGCTTGTAATGCTCACTGGGGAAAGCTTTATCCTGTCTTCATAGCTTGAATCATAATCCATCTCCTTTTTCTTACAAAAAGATGCTGAATTTTTCTCTAAAATACAGTCGGTACACACAGAGACATATTAGGTGATAAACCAGAAATACTAAGCAATGTCTAAGCATTTTTATATTTTATGATACATAAAGTGATGTGACAAAATTCCTTAAAGTACACTTAGAGATACTGTCACACTAGCAATAATTCCCTGAGAAATGAACAACTGTGCTTCTGTAGTTTCTACAAATTAACAAGTTACAGAGAGAAAAACAGTCAGAAACTATACTTGCCAAACCCACTGTACTCAGGCCAAGTGCTGGAGGCCATGTCTCAGCAACAACAATCCTTAAAACTAAAATGGGGATCCAGAGGCGAAAAGCAATTTTAATACGTTCCCTGGGCACTTGCATGAGCAACTGAATCAGAAAATTTCGAGATGAAGGAAGAGAATAAAACAAATAGCAAGAAATAAACTTGTCTGAACAAAATCTGTTTGCAATAAAACTGGACTGCTGTAAGTCCAGACAGCTGCTGGGGTTTCTTGCTTCTTAGATGATTCCTGAAGTAATGAGATATTCTTTAGCACACATGTCTCTTTTTTAGCATTACAGCTTTTGTAATCTTGTAGTCTTGGAAAAATAAGAGTTTAAAACATTGTTTCACACACTATGTCATGCTCTTATATTAGGTCTTTTTTAATGGGTCAAGACACTAGGGTATCTAACTAAAAATAATTTTTATATACATAATACCCTAATTAGGTCAGAAGATGCTTCTTTTAAAAGCTCATCTCTCGGGGCCAGGAAGTTGGCTCAGTGGTAGAGTGCTTGCCTCACATACATGAGGCCCTGGGTCCAATTCTTCAGCACCACATAAATAGAAAAAGCCAGAAGTGGCGCTGTGGCTCAAGTGGTAAAGCTCTAGCTTTGAGGTGAAGAGCTGAGGGACAGTGCCCAGGCCCAGAGTTCAGGCCCCATGACTGACAAAAACAAAAACAAAAACACACACAAAAAAAACTCATCTCTCATTCTAACTTCCATAGTAATTAGCAGATGGTTTCAAAATGAAATAATTTTCCTCACTGTTTTAGCCAGGTCAAACACTGGGATCTAACTTCTTCAGTGGCTATTCAAATAAATGTAAACTTGGACCTGTGTTGCAATTCAGTCTTTCCTGACATCTAAATTAAAGCTATCTGATATGACTAAACAAATAGTAAGATGCAGAAGGCTATTGAAGACAATGCATGAGTGTATATGCTAATAAAATGTTTTTTTAAAAAAAATTAGTCTGTGGTTTTGGTGAACAGGTTTAGTGATTCTATATCAAAACAGCATGAATTGTAGAGAATAAAAAGCAACCATTGGGTGATTAGCTAATACTTTTCAGAATGACCCAGATAATTTTTAAAGATATTTTTGCTAATGTTCTGACAATTGCTTTTTTTTTGTATTTACTGATTTTTTTTCTTTTTTAGTGATTCAGGGAATTCTTTTTTTTTTTTTTTTACATTTTTTATTGTGAGAATACCATACAGAGGAGTTACAATTACATGGGCAAGATAACAAGTACATTTCTTTTGACAATTCCTTTTTATGTTTTAAGTGATTATTGGAAATATGCTCGATTTTGAAAGAAATTTTGAAAACTAACATAGTTTGAAAGCGTAGTCCAGCCTGGAATTGGTGGCTTACACCTATAATTATAGCTATTCAGGAGGCTGCAATGTGGACAATCACAGTTCAAAGCCAGCCTAGGCATTAAAGTCCACAAGACTCCATCTCTACAGTAACTTAGAAAAACCTAGGCTAGCACTGTGACTGAAATTGTACAGTGATAGCAGAGCAAGCAAGGTATGCATGAGCCCCTTAGTTCTAACCATGAAGCAAAAGCACAATGGACACAGTGGGTCAAGTCTGTCATTCTAGCTACTTGGGAGGTGCAGAATGGAGGATGCTAGGGAAAAGAAGTTCACTGGATTCTATTTCAATGAATGGCTGGATACAGTGGCATGTGTCTATCATTCACTGTGATAGAAAGCTCAAGTTGGACAATCCACAGCCTAGGACAGCCAGGATATAAAGAGACTACTTGGAAAGTATCTAATGTAGAATGGTAGGCAAATACACTAATAATAATCTACAATGAGTGAATGTATTAATAAATAAATAATAAGAAAGAAAATGAAAACAAGAAAAACTACCCAAAACAAATAAATAAAATAAACTCAATGTATATATATGAAATTGGCACTGGGAAACTAGAGAAATTGTGTGTGATAGATGGGAGAGGGGAATAGTGGAAGGAGTGACACTGATTAAGATCCATTTACACATAAAAAACAAATTCAATAGAAACTCCTTTGTAAAACTAAAGATAATAAAATGATTTTTAAAAGCTATTTAAAGGATTTTAAAAGATTTTAAACAGAAAACAATCTATGCAAAAAAGGGTCTAGAAGTGTAAGTATAGTGGTAGAGCATCTGCCTAGCAAGTGGGAGGTCCTGACTTCAAACCCACTGTATTAATCTGCCCCCATAAGTATATATAAATGTATATAAATATTTTTTCTGGGAATTTTTACATAATGGATATAAATATTTTTTCTGGGAATTTTTACATAATGGTAAGCTGCTAAAAGTTTAATTGTCTAAAAACTGGGAATGGATAAAAGGTAAAAATTGTTGTTTCAGGCCTTTTTTCTAAATATAATGATTAGGACAATCATTGTCACCATTAAATTCAAAGTGAATATTTACACTTCACATGTATATGGGATATTATGCTACGTTCAAGCTCATATATAATCTACAGCATTTCTAGAACTGTCCATATTTTAAAGGTTGTGCCTTATTTGTAATACTTATAACCATTTAAGAGTTAAGAAGTGAGTTGTATTTGCATGCTGAATCCTTTTTTCAGAAAGATCAACTATAATTGATTGAATATCAATATTATAAGATAATTACTTATAATTTGTTATATACTACAGTTAAAATAATACACTAAAGAAGGCTATTCACAATAATGTTTCAATACCACTATTTCATTAAAAATATCTCTGAATGTATTATGTCCAGCCAGACTAAAGCAAGGACTGCAAACTCATGCTGGCTGAGGTCAATTACTATAAATGCATAATTATGGATGTCTAGAGAATGCAGAAGGTATAACTTCTATCTAATAATGGCAAGATAGTAATGTGGGCCTACGTTGTCAGGATCTCTTTGTTTATCAGTAAAAGTTCAAATTTGAAATGTAAACATCATTCATTTTATACAACCCCCATCAAAAAAACAAACCAAAACAATGAAACACTGTATGAGACAAAGACTATTTTATAGAATAGACTCTGCTCTCTGTACTATGAAACTATTGGTTATCTTTCTTTGTGCATAGCCCCTTTTCTGGCACTCTATTCTTACGTTATATCCACTCCAGTAAAGGAATTGCTAGTTATAATTTTCAACTAGTCAAGTTTTGGAAGTCAGAAAAATTAATAGTATTATGTAATAATTTCTAGAATCTTACATTATTTGGCAAGGTCACATCAGATATAACTTCTGATTCCGCATCAATGATATGATAACCATCTGCTGAGCTGAAGAAAATCTTCAATGTCTTCTCAGGACCAATTGCTAAGTCAACTGTCACTGGCTTATAACCAAGAGTTGGAAATACCTGAAAATATAAAATTAAAAAATAGCCAAAAGGCCAAGATAATATTCTGACTAAAATAAAAGTGTCTATATTCTTTTCCCAAATGTACAAGTTTATAAAATCCAGATGTATTGTTTCAGTGCCATATTGTATTTAAGGACCCATGTACAAAAACTTTTCTTAGGTCTATTACTACAACAAATATGCAATTATATTTAAGTTCTAAACATTGTTTGACTTCAAAGAGCACATTGCCAATGATCATAAGAGCTTCATGTGGCTCTGGAAGGTATTGGCTGCCTTAAATTCCTTGCCTTGAGCTTTAGCAAATGGAGGAGCTCATCTGGTCTCTTAAACCTGTTCGCTGGATCAGCTGCTTTTATTTTTGCCAGTATTCGTATATAGGCTTCATAGGACATATAGTCTCCTTCGGAGTCTGCTGATTGATCAGTGCATACTTAGTAAGGAATGAAAAAGGCCAGACATGTTAACCTACCATAGACTGGGTAGACGCTAGGTTCCTATGCTTTCTACTCATGGTCATGGTAGAGAACTGAGCCTAACAAGATTCACTGTACTGTAGTCATTAGGTGAGATTCATGAACTAGGATGAGGACTTGGACAAGAACTATGTATCATGATCGACAGACTGAACTTATCTCTTCATTTTTCAGTTCCATACCAGGTAGCCATAACCAATCAGCATACACCCAAGAAGAAACCCATACCCAAACACTGACAGCTGAGCCAGGGCCAAGTTTAGGAAGATCAGATCAGGGATATGATTTGTGTCCAAATAGACCCAGAGTGCTCTATTTATAAAGAGACATAGTTGTTGTGCAAATATGCTTAAGAAATAGTCATAAGAATTAGACATGTTTACTTTTCACAGGTAAGCTTTTTGGCTTAGAAAATAGGTCATATACACAGATCCTGACCTAGGATACAGAAGTATCTTATAAATATCTTTTTAGAGTCTATCTGTATATGTCCCTATGAATGGTTTCCTATAATACATCCACAGACCAGCTAGATTAATATAATCTGGAACATTTGATAAAAACAGATTTCTAGGCCTAGTACAGATACCCTAATTCAGCTTCGGGTTCAATTTGAGATATAAATGATTTTACAAATAGTCCAGCTGATTCTGATGTTCATCCAAGGTTAAGAGCTATTTGACTTGATAGAGTGCTGCAGTTTCATTTATCAGACCTCACTATACAATAAACATATTTAAGTGAAAACTAAGCATTATATATATATATATATATATATATATGATATCCTTACAGCTCTCAGATTACAGAGTATGAAAAAATATGCAACAGCTTGTTTGGGACATTTATATCTTAATTTAATATTTTTCTTATTTTTGAGATGTTGTAAAAAGGGTTTCAGTTTCACATATCAATTAATGAGTACAGTGCATCTTGATCAATATACTCTTTCTTTTCTTTCTTTCTTTTTTTTGCTTATGTAGTGCTGAGGAATCGAACCCAGGGCTTCAGGCATGCAAGGCAAGCGCTCTACCACTGAGCCACCTTCCCAGCCCTCAATATACTCTTTCTGTCAGGTCAGTCCTCTGTCTATCACAACCCCATCCATCCTCTGAAGTTACCCAATTCCATTTTTATATATGTACACTGAATATTATAACTATATTCTTCCACATTTCCTCTCTCCGTTTACCTGTTCCCCCATTCTCTCACAATAAATGTTTCAGCTTTTGGGACACTTTTAAATGGTTCCCTTCTGTGGCAGATCCACAGAATTTCAGCTATATCACAAAGAAGATGGAAAACCCCCAATAAGCTTAATCACCATTCCTCACAATATTTCAACAGGGGAATGAATTTGGAGTTTCAGCTTGGAAGAAATGGAGACCACCACTTTCTTCCCCACATCCAACTATAGTAACTGGAGCAAAGGTTTTCTCGCGTTTCTGGTGGCTTCCAGTGGGGTTCTCTGTACCCTTTCCATATCTCTCCTTACCTTCCCTCTGCTCTCCAACCCCCACTAAGAGAGAACAAGGATTTTCTCAGTTTCAAGTCACTGGGGTCGCACCAGACACCTGTGTTTGGACTTCTAGAAGAAAATGTCTTCATGTTGACTACAGGAAATGGGAGTGAGGAGTTGGTGGGAATGTCCTGTAAGGGGTGAGTCAGGGATTTTCCTCATATTTCCCCTGGATGTAGTGCCTGTGGATTGTCTAAAAATGGTTAAATGATCATTATTGATATGATATATCCAAATTACATTAACTGTAGAAAAATGGTATTTCTACTTTTACAATATAAAATACAGCTTTGCATACAATTTCTTCTTAAAAGAAAAATGGTGATGAATAGAGGGGTTGCAGTTACATAAGTAAGGTAATGAGTATATTTCTTTATAAACAGTTATCTCCTCCCTAGTTAAAAAATGTACTACTACTTGACTTATGTAATTCTAACCTCTCTGTATATCACCTTTTCAATAGCAATAATTAAATATCTAAATATAATTTAAAAAATAAAAATGGTATGATTCAAAAGAAAAGATCACTCACTTTAATAGCAGTGTTTTCATCAAAGGACTTTGGTGCCCATGCATAAAGGTGAATGGATGACTTCAGAGCAATTGCAATGTAGGTTGTTTCTTCATGTTGGACTACAATGATAAAATACAAAGAAATAACAATGATGCAAAATTAAAAACACAGTATTTATTTGCTATTGAAATAAAAATTCAAGAGCACAAACTATTTTCAAGAAACTTTCTTAGTTAAAATTTGATGACCTCGCCCCCCTCCTCCCAAATGGTAGTTTTATGTGCTGTTTGTGTTAGCCTTTCAATAAAATTCAAATTGCACAAGGAAAACCTTATCACTAATGAAAGAAATTTAAAGAGCTAATTATATACATTCCTGTAGTGTTAATACTGCAAAGGCTCAGAAAGAAAGAATTGTGACTTTGAGGCTAACTTGAATTATAAGAGAAATCCTGTCTCAAAAAAAATCAATGGGGATATAGCATGTACAAAGCTCTGGGTTTGATTCTGAGCAACACAGAAAAAAGTACAAACAAACAAAAATCTCCCCAAAAGACAAAAGTAAATGGAAAATATATCTCTACAGATACACATACACTGCAGTCTATTGAAATCCCAACTGCTTGGTTTGTAGGAACAAAAAGCTATTCCTAAATTTCCATGGAATTATAATTTCTCAACAACCAAAACAAATTTGAAAGAAAGAGCTAAAGTTAGATGACTTGCACCTCCTGATTCCCAGTGTTATTTTTATAAAAATACCATGGTATTGCTATAAGCATAGACATACAAATCAGTCTCAAGACCATTCTCAAAAACAAAAACAAGTCTTCAATTGATACTACTGGCACAGCTGGAAAGTCATGTGCAAAAGAAAAAATTAAAAACAAACTTTACAACTTTGGCAGGGTGGGGGTTGGGGGTGAAGGTGTGGGGGTGTGGGGTGAGGGGTGGAGAGGGAAAGGGATGGTATGGGGAAACAAAGGAGGAGGCAACAATGCTTGATAAGAAATGTACTCACTATCTTGCCCATGTAATTTTAACCCCTCTGTATGGCATTTTCACAATAAAAAAAGACCCTTCTATCTCAGATCATATATAAAAATTAAGTCAAAATGGAACAAAGTTATAAACATGAGTTAACACTGTAAAACTCTTAATAAACAATGATAAACATGATGATTTTGAATATGATAATAGATTCTCACATTTGACCCAAATATTATGAGACAAAAGATATAGATACATTAGTTCTCAAAGTAAAAATTTTCTGTTCATTAAAAGACATAATTTAGGGCTGGGAAGGTGGCTCAGTGGTAGAGCACTTGCCTTGCATGCTCGAGGCCCTGGGTTCAATTCCTCAGCACCACATAAGCAAAAAGAAAAAAGCTGGAAGTGGCACTGTGGCTCAAGTGGTAGAGTGCTAGCCTTGAGCTGAAGAGCAGAGGGACAGCGCCCAGGCCCAGAGTTCAGGCTCCACAACCGGACCCCAAAAAAAAAAAGACATAATTTAAAGTGAAAAATACAATGTATTGACTAGAAGTATTTGTTTTATTTATTTATTTTTTTGGTTGGTTGTGGGGCTTGAACTCTGGGCCTGGGTGATATCCCTGAGCTCTTCAGCTCAAGGAGAGCCGTAGTGCCACTTCTGGTAGTTAATTGGAGATAAGAGTCTCATGGACTTTCCTGCCTGGGCTGGCTTTGAATTGCAATCTTCAGATCTCAGCTTCCTGAGTAGGTTGGACTACAGGTGTGAGCCACCAGTGCCCAGTGACTAGAAGTATTTGTAAACCATAAATTTGGTAAGTCCAAAGTCCAATTTTTAAAAGGTTTATAATTCAACAAAAAGTAAAAATAGGCAAAGGTTTTAATAGTCATTCTCAAATGATGATATATAAATGACCAATAAACAAAGGAATACATAAATTAATAATCAGGTAATTATAAACTACAGTAAGTATCACGTTACACTACCTAGGATACCTATAACATCTGCAGGCGTTTGGAAGGATGTAGAGAAAGTAGGGTCCTCACATATTATGAATAGTAATGAAAAAGGGTATATTCAGTTGCAAAACAATGTGTCAGTACTATTCAAGAGAAAATAAAAATGAATACATATATACAAATATATAGAAAAATACTTGTTAATGAGACAAAGTTTTGGTTGCCCTTGAGTATTTTTGATGGGTTAAATAAAGCCAGTTAGAAAAACTGGAGTTAACTAGTCCATGCCCTCATCAAGAGCACACATTTTGAAGAAGACTACTTTTAGATCTCCATGAACTATACAAGGTAAATGTAAAACATATAATAATAAAATATATAATATAAAATAATATAACCTAAATTAACAGGATATCATTCACCTCTAGGGATGTGAGATTTATATAATATGACTGAAGGAAAGTAGTAATATCTACATGTGAAGATAGCCTTGCATTATAGGAATTTATCTTATAATGGTACATGTGTACAATTACACATGTGGAAGTCACTTCTATACAGAACATAGCAGTCATAAAAGAATACCCTGTTACAATTCATATGACATGATATGAGTTATTACTATGAAAACTTTCTCTAATTACACATTAGTGATTTTACTCATTAATATTGGCAGTGGCATAAAATAGATTATGGAAAATTTTTCTTTTTCATTTATTAAATTTCCTGGTCAATATTAAGAGGAATTCTATTTTCTCTGCTTTAGCTACAGAATATCATATGATTCTCTCTAGGTTGTTGAAAATATCTCCAGAAACATTTATGTAATTGGGGCTATGTAGCAGTTTGGTTTAGCTTTTATATTTAAGTTAACTATGAAGAGAAGAAGGGTGACAATAAAAACCAAATTTAGCTTCCATAGTAACTTAATCAATATTTCTCTCATTAACAATCAAGATTGCAGCAGTAATAACCTGGAAGATTTTTCAAATAAATTTACTCATCTTTGCATTTTAAGTTGTAAATTCTTTCCTTTCTCCAGTCTTCTTTCCTAATTGTGTGGTTCATATGAAAAGAAACACACTTCATGTAGCTGTAGTAGAAATGAAATGGGACTTACGAACACTGAAGTGCTCACAGCCAGTCAGCTTGTCAATAGCTTTGCAAGCTTCCTCTGTCTTCAGCATTTCTTCTTGACGCCTTTTACTTTCTGGATCATTATGCAGAATCTTGTTCCGAAGCCAAGTCAAATGATATACCCGAAGTCTATTCTTACGGCCTAATACACAATAAAAATATAGTATTATGAATTTCTATTTTGTATTGTGGAAGAAGAAAAAAGTAAGGGCATGATGCTCTTCTAGCAAATGTTTTCATTAGAGTAAAAATCATTTTGTGAAAGTTACATTGGTTAAAGGTCTCTTTAGAGTTTAGAAATATGATAACACAGACTATCTTAGTTTTCCAATTGCAAGACAAAGTGTCTATGAGTGACCAATGTGGCTGTCTGAAGAGGATCTAAAACATATTACTTTTTAAAAAATTAGGATTGCCACTAAGCAGGAAACATAATTGTTATCCATTCACCTGTACCTTGGGTTTTTACTAAGTTACAGCATCTCTGGGAAACACACCAGACAGCTGTATATAAGTATATAAGAGAAATATCTGAATAAAACTGTTTAGGAATTTAGTAACAGTAAGATGGATCTCTTTGTGTTATGTCTTTACATAATATAATCTGTTTTAATATTTGTTTCATCAACCCAGAATATTTTTATGTTTATTTTGAATGATTTTGATGGGTAGATAATATATAAATGTATTCTTAAGGTATAATATGATATTTTGATTCATGTATATATTGGTAGATAAATCCAAGTTAATTAGCATATACATTTCCTTAAACTTTCATTATTCAAGTATTTAAGGTGGATATGCATTGTTAATTAACTTTGTCTTGCTATGTCATAAAACACTAAAATTAATTCATCCTATTTGATTATAACATTGTACCTATTGCTTGCCCACTTTTTTGGCCCCTCCTCCTACCCAATTCAGGCTCTGGCAAGTATCATGCCATTAACTTTTTAGATTCCACTTATTAATGAGATCATATTTTGAATTTCCTAATTGTCAGTCCCATCATATTATTGTAATTCATTTAAAAATCATTGTAGTCATTAAATGCTTTGTTAAATGGCCCCTCCTTTGTATAACTACTTAAAGATAAAAGAGAACAGGTTATTAAAACATATTTTGGAGAGGGTAACAATGCTCAATAGGAAATGTACTCATTACCTTACTCATGTAACTGTAACCCGTGTACAGTATCTTTACAAAAAATATATATTACAAAAAGTAAAAATAAATAAAAATGTATTTTTCCTTCCTTAAATAATGACCTTATATTAATTTTTCTTAGCCATCTTTAGGATTTATTATAATATTTCTGATCTCAAAAACTGGATTTTTAAATTATTTTATTAATCTTTTCTTTGTGCTGGTCCTGGGGCTTGAACTTAAGACTTGGGCACTGTCCTTGAGCTTTGAGCCAATGTTTCACTTCCAGATTTTTGTAGTTAATTGGAGACAGGAGTCTCACAGACTTTCTTGCCCAAACTATCTTTAAACCATAATCCACAGATATCAGACTTCTGGTGTGAGGCACAGGGCCTGGGCATTATTAATCTTTAGTATACTTTTAAAGGACTCTTTTGAAGCAGTGTTAGGATTCAGACATCTATTTTTATGGCCATTTTACTTTCTTTTGTTGTTTTTGGGGTTGAGCTCATGGCCTGTTGCTTTCTCGGAAGACATTCTACCACTTGAGCCACAACTCCAGGTCTCTAATGTATTTTGCTACTGAGGATTGAACCCAGAAATTTTTATGTGCTTAGGCAAGTGGTCTACTAGTTGAGCTATTTTTAAATGGCAAAACTATTATGTATCTTCCTATACTGACATTTTAGTGTTATTTCATGTAAAAGCAATTTATATTTGAGAGAAACTAAAGAATTTAAAAAGGACACAATTAGACTAGGGCAAATTGGATAAAAAGTTAAGAAATCTGTTGTCTTGATGTTTTTTTTAAACACTAAACATTGCTTAAATTGCATCTTTAGACCTCAAATAATTATTAAGTGAATGAGCATGAAACATAGGCAAAATAATAGAGTCTGAATATTCCTATGAAGTATTTTCTCTTATAATTGAAGCTTAAAAGTAGTCTTGAACTCCCATTCCTTTCATGGGGAACATGTTTCTCTCTTCAATTTCTCTCTACATTCATCCTGTGGTACTAAAATAAAACTTGCTAAAACTTGCAAACAAAAACCAACACAAAATATCTTATAGCTCAACATATTTAAAAATATAAATAACCCATATACAACATGATAACATTTACATTTTGCATACATATATATGAACATATATAACTGTGGTTAGCATAACTTAATCTGTTCCCGACTTCTTTTCACTTTTTTTTTTACTTTTTTGGCAGTACTGGCTAGGCAAGTGCTCTACCACTTGAGCCACATTCACAGTTCTTTTTGCTATAGCTATTTTTCAGATAGGATCTCACATTTTTGCTTAGAGCTGGCCTTGGATTGCTAGCCATGTACTTATGCTTTCTGCATAGCTGGGATTACAGGCATGAGCCACTATGCCCCACTAAATTTTTAGTTTTTCAAAGGCCACTTATCTTTGGTCTATATTCAGCATTGCAATGAAGGAAAACCTGTTTAAGGTAACATTTAAGGCAACATGGTTGATAGAGAAGTATCAAAGTCCAGGTAGAATGTAGAAATAAGTCAAGGCCAGGAAATGAGTTAGATGGAACTGTGTATATGATTAGGAATGGCTTACACTGTTTCAGAGCTCAAGATATTGAAACAATGGAGTGAGAAAGAGACAATCAATCAAAGATTCCAAAAAAACAAGAAATACAAAATCCAAAGTAACCTAACCAAAGACATAAACCCTATTTCTGATCCTATCTGCTCTCTGCTGTGCCTCTGGCTGGTTAACTACCCTCTGCCTTCACCTAGCATGTCAATTAACCTTTGTTTTTTCTTATTATCCTGTTTTGGTAAATTCTTTTACTAGCCTGTGACGTACAAATAGCCACAATAAACAATGCTAATGCTTTTCTGATACCATATCTTGTTTCATAATCACAATCACTATATCATCTACTTTCTCATAAAAGTTCAGGCTTTGACATATTAAACAAGAAATATAACTATGGTGTGGGGAAAGTATAGAGGACTTTAAGGGATCCATTCTTATAATTAACTTGTAGGTTCTTGTAATAAGGCTGTGCAAGAGACAAGTCTCCTTTCACACAATTGTCCACTTTTTCTATTTTTTATTATAGCTAAAACATCACTAGGGAAGCAGATGGTAGGTGTTGGTGAGATTATTTGTGAATAAGTGATGAGAATAAAAGATGTGGATATGTAGGTTACTCTGAAAGAAACCTTTAAGTATATAAATAGCGTGGTTTTTCTTATCACTAACCTATGCAAAGTGCATTACAATGAAATGAAGTTAGGTTAAACTGTAAATAGGTAAGAAAATACCAGGAGAGTCTGGTGACCCAATTAAAGGTTATATTTATATGCTTTTTGGAACACTTTTACTGGAAAAAGTTTTTAACCCAGTTTGCAGTCTAATTAATCTACAAAGCTATTCAGTTATTTTTAGCTTTTAAACAAACCAGAGATGGTAATCAGCAAGTTGAGTGGCTCTACAACTTGAATCTGGCGGAAGGGTCTTCGCTTTATAAGTTTAGTAATATCTGCTTTTCCACTTCTGTCCATCAGATACAGATTAGAGCGAGTTCCCAGCAGCAAATTGACTCCTGTTTAGATATAAAATAGAAAAGTACAATATTGTCTCAGATTATTTTTATTAACAGATACTAATTCAATTAATGGGATTCATGTGACATTCTCTTATAGATAGATAGATAGAGAGAGAGAGATAGGTATAATGTATTTTGATATTCACTCCATCATCTCTTATCCTCTACTTTTCCTCACCCCAAAATCCCTTCCTCTTTCAAAGAACCACTTGTTCTTCTGAAAAACTTCTTCTACTTTCAAGTGTTTTAAACATATAGAATCTGCATGTGAGGGAAAACTTAACATTTGTCTAAGTCTAGCTTATTTCAATCTGTATAGTTCCATCCATTTTATTGTAAATGACGTGATTTCATTCTTCTTTATGGCTAAATCATTTTGCATTGTGTATATATTACACATTTTCTTCATCTATTCTTGTGTTGATTTTTATGTGTTTATATTACTATTTTTTTCGATTGAACTATGCTAGTATATGTAAAGGTAACTTACCATTTTAGGATAATATTGAACCTCACATAGTGTAACTATGTTCTTTGTACTAATAGGACAAAGTTCATTCACATACATGAAAAGATAGATAAAAATGCTTTTAAGCAATGGTCTCTTACTGTTCAGTGTGCCATCTCACAGACAGAGTTTTGTATAACTCTTAGCACTGCTTACAGTTGTCCCCAAAATTTTCTTTTTGTCAGTCGTGGGGGCTGAACTCTGGGCCTGGGCTCTGTCCCTCAGGTCTTCAGTTCAAGGTTATCGCCCTACCACTTGAGCCACAGTGCCACTTCCCTGTTTTTTCTGCTTATGTGGTGGTGAGGAATCGAGCCCAGGGCCTTATGCATGCAAGGCAAGCGCTCTACCACTGAGCCACCTTCCCAGTCCTAGTAGTCCCAAGTTTTAAAGAAGTTATTCACTTTTGGAAACTACTTTTCTACATTCTAGTATAGTGAATACAAGGAGTTCAATTCACTTCATTCAACCCACTTCTCATTTTTAATTAAGACTAAAGGTTTTATTACTTTTTGACTGTTTATATGGAAATAATTATTTCTATTGTCTTTAAATAGTTGTACAAGGGAGTTGTTATTCAATAAAGCAGTTTATTAATATTATAAATTTTATTATTATACTGATCAGTATCACCCTATTCATTATTCTCCCCCATAATTTTTAAAATTGGTGGCTGTATGTTCATGGAGATTTAAAAAGTTTTACATTATGCTCTATCCTTTGCGAGGTATTAATAGTCAAGGCACATTTAGAAACTTCATCTTCATCTCATGGGGAAATCAAATGAAGGCCAAGACACTATAGCTCATTATTGCTATAATCTTTTATTTTTCAAAATATAAAATAAATGTTATGAGTTGCTATACATAAACTATATTCCTGCATAAGATACTAGACTGAAAGGTCCATTCTTTCTTGCCTGGTACACTCATTTATCAAAGTTTTTCTAAGTTGTTCAGTCCATATAATTATGTATATTATCCAGGTCTACTTTTAATTTGAAACCTTGTCTTATCTTCAATATTATGTTAAGTAAAAACTACAAGCTTGCAAGTGGGATTTTGGCATTTACTTTACATTTCTCCCATCCTTGCTTTCAGTTATTTTGTTTCCTTTATGATGCAATCTGGCTGAAGAAAGCCATTCTCAAAACTATCAATATTGTCAGAATCTTTCTGAAACAATGGATTGAAAAGTTGGGCAAACGTAAGACATTTTATGAGGAATTTTCTCTAATTCTTCATGAATGTTTAAATACAAGATCTTGCAGAAACCTTTCTTTTAATTCCTCTGTAAGAATCACAATTAAACTAGAACAGAGTAAGCTAAATTTCAGATAGCTCAGACCAATTTTAAAATTTAGCCATGCTAATTCAGGTTATAATGAAGAAAGAATGAAAAGATGGGTGTTATCAAAGATTAGTTCTGACTTTTTAAAATTATTTTAATTTTATTGTCAAGGTGATGTATAGAGGGGTTACAGTTATATAACGTAGTGAGCACATTCCTTGTCACAGTTCTGATTTTTTAAATTACATAAACTCACCCCATAAAGAACCACAGCAGATTTCAGAAGTAAATTCCTTTTCATACATGTGGATAAGTGGTTTTTTAGATGGAGGAGAGACATAGAATGGGTTAACATTGACTTCAGAGGGTAGCATAGGTAATTTCTCAGGTACTTCAACAAATCCAGCATATACTGTGAAGGAGAAGATATTGAAAGAAAGTTACTAGTCTATACCCCAAACTTGCTTCATTATTTCAATAGATGAGATATAACCTAGAAGTTTTTGTCCTTTTATTGAATATTATTTTGTACTGGAAGTATCATTTTAGTAATTCGTAAATCATCAGACAATATAAATCATGATGTCAAAATATATTGCTGAATATTAATTCCTTTGTATGGGTACTAGGGCTTAAGAGCAAGGCCTTGAATTCTGGCTTACTGCTTTTGTTTAAGGCAGGTACTCCACCACTTGAGTTAGGACTCTCCTAGCTTTTTATTGGTTAATTGGAGGTCAAAGTCTCTGGGATTCTCTTGTGGGTTAGCTCAGAAACTGTATCCTCAATTCTCACCTACTGAGTAGCTAGGATTACTAGTGTGAGCCTCTAGACACAGTTATGAATACATATTTTTGATATTTGGTAATTGGGTTTTTTGTAAATTATTTGATTTTTTTGATCTATATACTCAAAATCTTTTTTTATTGTCAAGGTGATGTATAGAGGGGTTTCAGTTACATAAGTAAGGTAATAAGTACATTTCTTGTCAACCTTGTTAAACATTCCCTCAATTTTCTCTTACTTTTCTTTTTCCCAACCACCCCCCGCCAAGCTGTACAGATCATTTCCAAAATATTGTCTTGTGTATATCACAGTTGTATTGGTTCTCCCTTGTCCTTTGTCTCACCATTCTGTTGCTCCCCTTTCCTTCCCTAATTCAAATAAATGTATACACAATACTAGGGTACCAAAATCAAATGAACTCCAAGACATGGACACAGGAGGTTTTTCTTTGTTGTTGTGTTTAATGTACTATGTGATATTTTTCTTTTGTATGTTCTTCCCCTTATGGTATATGAATATATTTTATATTGATAGAAAGTAAAACAAAATCCAACTGTCAACTGTAGCTCAAATTTAGGTACCATAAAAATTCAGTGAGAATTTTTTTGAAAAAATCATACATAAACATGAGTTCATATCAACTGAATATTGGAGTATTTTGATTCCTTGCATGCTATAAATAAGTATCTGAATACTATTTATATGTGAACAGGAAGCCACATTAAAAGACTATACTAGACATACTCACAGATGGCACTGTCACAGTCAGCATCAGTAGTCCTCTCAGAATCTTTGGAAGGAGATGAGTGGGCGGGAGAAAATCCCAATGAGGTTGATGATACTGATATGTCAATTTCTTCATCAAATCCTGGGGGTGTAATATCTGAGGCGATGGAATTTGAGGCATCACTTTCACCATTCAATTCCTACAGGAGACCAAAACCATTTTTTTTTAAGTTTAAGGAAGTTAACAGCAGGAGAATATTTCTAGGAATCACTTCTGTACAAAATCCACATTTACTAAAAATTATTTAAGACTATCATTAAAAGAGAGATCTAGGACCTATTAATGGGACAACTGTTGTCAGAGGAGAAATATATAAATAAGTTTAAGTCCTTATCTGTACAGTCTTGTGATTTGTGCAAATGTACCAGGTACTGTGCTGGGAATCTTATATGCATATTTTCGTGAATTTTTACCATATACAACAAATAAATATAGTTGTCTGCTATTTAGTTATAAGCAAACTAATATAGCACTTAGAAAATATTTTCTTGGTCGGTGTTCATTAAAAGTAGAGAACTAGAGTTGAAAACTAGTCTGATTTCAGAGTCTACACAGGTATGTAATACCAAACAGCCACTTGAAAAATAATTTCAAAGCTTCTATTTTCTATTTTCATTGATTTCTCCCATAATTATTATTCGCCTGTCACTGGCTAAGCCCTAAGTTGTACTCCAAGATTGGACAATTTGTAATAATAATAATAGTATTAGTTGAGAATGAATTAGATATACTTACTTCCTTTTAAGAATTCAAAAGTGTATGTAACAGAAAATACACAACAAATAAGTAAACTACAATGTCATAAGAATAAAAAGCAATGATGTTCAATAGGTTTGTAAGCACAGAAAGAGGGATATATAATTTCACCAGGCCAAGAGAAAGACAATGCTTGGGTTGGAATATCATCCAGTTCACCAAGTAGAGAAGAGATAAAGAGGACTGGCATCTTGAAAGCCAGTTTGTGAGATAGAACAGTAAGCCAGGAAAGTAGACTGACTGACACAATGACTTTTGCATTTTCTATTTGAATTTTCAGATACATAATTTTCATTTTTCAATAATAAGTCTAAATATCTTGTGTTACAGGAAATTTCAGTGATAATTCCTGTTCATTTAGTATCTGTGAAGCTGCTCAAGTATTTAAAATCTTCTTATCAAGTAATAAATGTCTTATGAACTGGAAAATCATTATCTAAACATAAGACATCACTTTAAAAACGTATGTACCCAGACTAGGGATGTGGCTCGGTGATACAATGTTTGCTAAGCGTGCTAAGGACACTGGGTTCCATATGTGGCACTGTAAAAGTAAATCATATATTGTCAGTTCCCAAAAAATCTAAACATAGATTAAGTATATGATCTAGCAATTTTACTCCTAGGTATATACCCTAAAAAAATGCAGACTCTAAAAGATATACTAATGTTCATAGAAACTCAATGAAATATGGTATAGACATACAGTGGAATTTTATTCAGTCTTTAAAAGGGATGAAAGCCATACATGCTATGCCCTGATGAACATTGAAAGTATTATGCCAAGTAAAATAAGCGAAATAGTGCATGAAACTACATAGTTAGAAACTAGAATACTAGTTACTAGGGGGCAGGGGAAGAACAAGAGATTGTTTGTGAAGACATTTTTTAAAGTAACAGAAAGAATAGTGATGGGGAGGAAGATGGCGGAGGAGAAGCTGGAGGCTAAACAAGCTCTGGTATAGAAAACAGTTTTAGTGTTCCAGTGAACAGTCCTAGGCTAGAGAATCACACCAAGTGTGCCATCACAGTACAGAAGTGAATATACTAAAAATGCCACTGATCTGGTTAAAATTTTGTTATATACATTTGCCATAGAAACAATGCTATTCAACACAAAAGTTGTATGTGTTAAAGACACTTTCTAAAACATGTAACTTGAACAAAATAAGCAAACAAGGGATTTTTGTACCTAATAGTAAATAGTAACTAACCAAATTTGATGGAGATAAGGTCTAGTCATACAATAAAGATATTTAAACCTTGGGATAGAAGGTAAAATCCTTTTGAAATAGTTAAAATTCTACCTGTCAAGTGAAGAAACACATTTGCAATGAGAAGAGTTGATTCTCCTTTCCAAAGGGTGCATTACCTCTAGTTCAGGTTCCACGTCCTGGAAGACATGTCTCTCTAGTCCCAGTCCATCTATTGCTGAGTAATTTTCTCCGTCACTGAATCCACATGCTCCATTCTCTTCACTGATTCCACCGACTGCCATAGCACCATTATTCCTGCCACGTGTTCCACTGCCTGTATTGGCTCCATATTCTTCCGGATCTCCAAAAGCTGCACTGGCTCCACCTACAGCACTTCTTCCATAGCTGCTCCTGGCCTTATCATTTCCATAGCCTCTGCCAGCTCCTTCTTTTCCATTATTACCAACTTGTTTGTAGCTTCCATCTCTTCCATATCTTGTCCAGATAACAAGATAAAATTAGTAAGTCCATTCAAGAAAATGTATAGGTCACCTGATTTGTTTTTTAAGAACAGAAAGCTTAAAATATTTTAATGTTCTCTTATTGAGTAAGAGGGATTATTAAATCTATGTTTTTTAATTAATAAGTTTTTTATTATGAAAATACCGTACAGAGGGGTTACAATTACATGACCAAGGTAATGAGTACATTTCTTATCAAACATTGTTGCCTCCACTTTTGTTTCCCCTTACCACTCCTGCCCTCCCATTCCTCCCCAAAAGTTGTAAAGTTTGTTTTTCAACATAACGTCTTGTACATCTCATTGTTGCAGTGGGTCCACCTGAATCTCTATTTAAACAATCTGTTTTTTTTCTTTCCCCTCCCCAAATTATACCAACATCAAATACAGTGAAAACAGGGGTTATACTGTGGGGAGGGACATACAAAGCAACAAAGAAATCATCTTATAACTATGTTAGAAACAATAGCAAGAAAGAAAAACATTTTGAGTCCTTATCTTGGGGATCATTTCACCTAACATCAACTTGTCTGACCATTTCTGCTTGTCTCAGACATATATTAGGTATTGCAAATCAGGGAAACCATGGGACCTATGTTTCTTTTTTTTTTTTGTCGGTCGTGGGGCTTGAACTCTGGGCCTGGGCACTGTCCCTCAGCTCTTCAGCTCAAGGCGAGCGCTCTACCACTTGAGCTACAGCGCCACTTCCGGTTTTCTGGTCGTTTATTGGAGATAGGAGTCTCACGGTCTCTCCTGCCCGGGCTGGCTTTGAACCGCGATCCTCAGATCTCAGCCTCCTGAGTAGCTAGGATTACAGGCGTGAGCCACCAGCGCCCGGCTACCTATGTTTCTTTGGGCCTGGCTTACTTCACTTAATATAATTTTTTCCAAGTCTTTCCACTTCCTAACAAATGGGGCAATGTCATTCTTTCTGATGGAGGCATAGAATTCCATTGTGTATATAGACCCATTTTCTTGATCCATTCGTCTACTGAGGGGCATCTGGGTTGGTTCCATATCTTAGCTATGGTAAATAATGCTGCAATAAACATAGTTGTGCTGGTAGCTTTAGTATGGTCTTGTTTGTAAACATTTGGGTAAATGCCCAAAAGTAGGACTGCTGGGTTATAGGGAAGCATGTGTTTTTTAATACAAAAAGTAAGTTGGTGTGACAATGAATTGATTCATGATAGATAAGAAAAAATTCAAAAGATCCATCAGCTAAAGATAATATTAAATATATTATCTCTCTATATATTTGCATATAGATAATACTGTACATATATAGATTTATGTACATATATACATATATCTCAACTTGAATACTTCACCTTTAATCTACTAAAATGGTATTTGAACTGTAAGACGCAGTGTTCCATTTGAACAACTTAAATATATTATATGTCATTGAAGATCAAAATGCACAAGTATAATTCAGTCACCTTCTTAATACATTTTAAAAATAAACCAAGCTTAAAATAGTACTGCAATTATAACACATGAGTAGTATAAATAAAAAGATAAACCAACCTTGGCCAGTTAGAAGCACCATCATGATTACCACGTACATCATCAACAGACTCCTCATTGCCATCAGCATTATTTTGGTCTTCACAAACATACTTTGTCTGCTCAAAGTGGTTATCCAAGCCAGCATTTTCATTGGCATGGTCATAGGTATGTCTATATGCATTAGATTCAGTATCACCATCAGTATCAGCACCAGCATCATAGAGTTCAACATAATCACCATCCTCTTCAGGTGGCTGAACAATAGGTGCCGGAATTAACCAATCATTCCGGAAGATTTCAGAGAGTGCATTATAGCCCACCCATTCATTTGTTAAATATACTGGGGGTGATATTTTTCCTACTTTAAATCCATCTGGAACCTGTGTGCACAAGAAAGGTTAATGTAGTATCTAGTAGCCTTTCATTTTCTTCTGAAATGGGGAAGATTCCAAGATGACAATTATAAATATATTCACAGTTGAAACAAAGATATCCACTCACGAGATAGAGCCAAAAATTGAGTTAGGATGAGATGCAAAAACCTGAATATCAGGATGTGATTATTAGTGAACGTTCTAGATTCCACAGTAAAAATTTAACACAGTTTTTGTTTATTACCATTCCTTGTCTTCTAAAGAGTAGACATTTGATTTGATTCTGGAAAGTAGAACAGGTGATTTGATGATGTTGTTTTATTCAATAGGGTATACTTGAAGCTGATAGGTTCATTTCCATGGCTCTGCTTTATAAGCCATAGGTTAGTAAAGTATCTCAAACCCTTATAAAACAAATTACTATAAATCCACCTCTTATGTATGGCACATGCCATATTGTAGTTTATGGGTAGGATAGGAATAAACAGAAATATGAAATACACCTCTCTGAAAGAACAGTACAAGGAGTTACAAGACTTTTTATCTTGCTATAAGAAGCAACCAAGTATTTTGTTTTTATACATTGTCTTATCACATAAGGAATGCTATTGGGCAAAAAGTGAGTATCTAACTTTTACCCCTTAATCTGTGATCAGGTTCCACAATTACTTCTTTAGCACTCCTCTCTCCCATATGTTCCAACACAAAAATGTGAAAATAGAATCTGTGTGATACATTAAAGTTTTTCCCACTTCAAACTCCTAGGACTCTTTAACTACGTTTTACCTCCCACTTCCTGTGAGAACAAGAAGTTGGTCTCTCACTTTCTATTTGTCCCAATTTTAACTGTATTATACTATAAAAATACTTTCTAAAATTATAAAAAAAACCCTCAAAACATGTTTCAAATTTTCAATTCTGGAGGCCCACATAACAATGGGAATTTATTTTATAAAGATGAGTAACTAAGCTAAAAAACTCAACTTTCCCTGCAAGTAAAGATGAGAAGGTGTAGGTGGATCAAGATGCATTATGCTGATATACTGATTTGTTGAATGGTAACTCCTTTATACAATTACTTTAAAAATAAAAATCTAATTAAAAACAAAGAATTGAAAGTTTAAAAAAAGAGACATGAATGTCTGAAGATGGAAACCTACATGGACATCAATCAGCAAGCTTTGATCAATAGTAGAATAAGGAGGTGATGACTGGGACCTCCTCACAACCCTGGGACTCTCCTCTTCAGAAGAAGATTCTATAGAACATAAAAAATGCATTAGTAACTGGTAATTGACAGAGATTGCGTTCATTCATTTAGTGTACCAATTCAATCCCCAGTTGTTTTTCTTACAGTCTTTTCACAAATGCTACAAGTAGAACTGAATTGCTTCTATTCAGGAAATACCATCTGATACAGAAATTAACTTCTATTTTCATAGATAGTAGCAAGTTCAAAGTTTGTTCAATCTGTAGACCTATATGACTTTTGCTTTCAATATTTAATGTACACTTGCTAAATAATTCTTTCTACCTGTAGTTTAAGATGGTACACATTAAGACTGGTTGCTAGATAGATTCACCTTTACAAGAGTGTATTAAAAACAGGAAGAGTTGCGAGGATTAGTGGTCTCATATAATAACAAGTAAGAAAATGTTCTAATAATAGATAAAAAGATTAAAAATGAGTCAACATTCTAAATTATTGACTCTGTAATTTTAAATGTCCCTTATTTTCACCCAATGATATATTATTAACGATTTAAGGAATGAACTACTGGAAAGAGACATAACTTAGGAAAGGTAGACTCTTCCTAACCAGTGCTATATGCTAGAAACTTCTGCAATGATGGAAATGATTCATACACACTCTCCCACACAGTAGCCACTCATGACAACTGAGCATTTGGAATGTGATCTATATACCTGAGAAATGGACTTTTAAAAGTGAGATAGTTTCTTTTTGATCTTTCATTTTAATAGCCACATATGGCTATGTAATATCACAGTGGATAGATCAATGCCATGGTATGAATATTTCCATGTAAATTACAAATTTATCCAGATTGGACACTACAAGTCCAAAAAGCATGTCTTTGAAAACACTCATGACATTAGAGGACAATATATCATTCTAAAATGTGTGCCCCCTTCTTCTGGTAATGTTGTAATTTTCCATTTATTATTTTTATAGGAAACCATTTTCAAGAAGCTTCTAATATATATAAATATTTTAACAATTAAAATTCTATTATTATCCTGATATTAATTAACCTGGAGCTCATATTTTATAATATATCACTACTGTGGAAGTGGGCTATTAAAAATATTGAATGAGTGTCTTGCAATTCTATGGCAAATTTGTTCTCAGATGATGTCCTCTCATGGGACTATCAAATGGTCAATGTAGTAAATAAGCACACTAATATAACAGAATTTCAGACCTGAGATATGGTGCAGTTGTTATCCCCTGATTCCTCCTATTAATCTCCATGACTATTTTGAGGCCTAATCCAGATTTCTTTATTTTATAAATGTAACATGAATAGAACTTAAATATTTTGCTTATTTGTCCAGTATTACTAAAATTAGCTCTAGTTGAAAATTATCCCTAGTTGAAGCAGAAAGCACAAATTCTTTGAAAAATAATTCCTAAAATTACTTACCACTGAGGGTTATTTTACTTCTTAGTAGCCTGGTATTTTTACAAGATATTACACTACTATTTAAATACTTCCTTAATTATATAAGTCCCCTAAGCTGAAGGATAAGGTTTTAGTTTAGAATTTTTCTAAACATTTTAATAAAATCTATATGCTACATGTTTTTATGCTAGTCCTGGGGTATGAAATTGGTGCCTGGGTGTAGTCCCTGAGCTTTTGGGCTCAAGGCTAATGCTCTACCACTAGAACCACAACTCTACTTCCTACCTTTTGGTGGTTGATTGGAGATTCCAACAGACTTTCCTACTCTGGCTGGCTTTGAACCATGGTCTTCAGATCTCAGCCACCTGATTAGCTAGAATTACAGGCATCATCTACCTGCACCTAAGCATGTATGCTCATGTATGCTACATTTCTACAGATGACTTGAAGACTTGATCAGATATTTTCTCTTTGCTCATTACCTGCATTGCTTTAAATTGTATAATACAGTATTTTATGATTCATGGCAAAACTTTTGTTTTACAAGTCTATAATTTATTTAGAGTCTCTCAAAAGCACATCTTAAAACACATGAATCAAAATTTATCAGAATTTATGAAAATATTTTCATGATTCAATTAATTTTTCATGTATTCTGAGTAAAATGTGTAAAGTTTCAGACATTTCTGAAATGTGCACATTTCTGTGTACATTGTATTTTGAGAAGGAATAAACTGACAAGTGAAACAGTCTCACAGCTACTCTGTCCAATATTCTTATTTTCCTATAAATTTCATCCTGTTAGAGAAGAATGTCTCAAGCTCCTTTCACATATTTTTCTTATCTGGTATAGAAATAAAAATAAAGGTGGCTCCTCTAGCTCCTTAGACATACTCCTAACTAATCCTCAGTTGACTCAACTGGAAGAAGAAACTTTTTTTTTTTGGTCTAAGACTGTAACTGGAGCTCAGTCCCTGACACTTTGCTCATTGGCTAGAGCTCTACCAATTGAGCTATTCCTCCAACTGCAGCTCTGACTACCCAATTGCCAAATGTGATGCATTTGGGGTCCTGAATATCATTTGATCTCCCTTACGTATTTTTATTCATTTCTTTTTGAAATTATTTTTTTCTTGACTTTTGAAATAGAAACCATTAAACACTGGCTATATGTAGACTGTGTATTCTTTGAATCACCTGATGCTTCAGGACAATTCTCAGGATTTTGTCTGATGTCAATGGGCTTCTGAGCTTGTTCCAAAAGAGACTGCTGAGGTACACTAACAAAAAGACAGAAAAGCATGTCTAGTCATCTAACATTCACAAGAAGCATGTACATCTCAACACAATGGACAAAAAGGTTTTTCTTAAATACATGAATACATATCACCCCCAAAAGAAGTAGAGCTTAAGAGACACTTTCCAATTTACATTTTTGCCCAAACCACCCATTTTATCTTGAACACAGAAAAAAACCCTCCAATATAGAAATTTTAAAATATATTAGGTTATAAAATGTTCAATCTAAATTTATATTACAAAGTATTTAGCCTAAATATAAGGCTAATGTTTAAGACTTGTATAAATTTTCTTAAATGTAATAGTCATACAATATTGTTACTTGGGTAACACAATGAAAAACAGAAGCTTCTAATATATATAAATATTTTAATGATTAAAATTCTATTATTAGCCTGATATTAATTATCCTGGAGTTCATATTTTATAATATATCACTACTGATTTAAATACATACGTAGACAGAAAGGACACACAGTTCAAATAAAAAATAGTATTGTTAATTTCTGTACTCCCTTTGGTTTTCAACATGCTAGGACTTAGTTATTAATTTAAGCTTGGAATAGACAGAAGACTTTTCTATGGCCTAAACTTTCAGAAAATTTTGTTCCATAAATTTTATAAATTTGACCCTACGTTAACATATTTAAAGGCAACACATTATTCATAAATTAAAAGTCCTTTTGTCAAGTGAATAATCATTCCACATTTAACATTAAACTGAATTTTTATATATTGATTTTACTAAAGTTATGTTTCATGTTACTAGAAACATTTATTCAAAACCTCCATTTCAGGTTAGAAGCCCAATGTGAACCCATTTATTGATAATGCAGAGTAAAATAACAGTCCACAGTCTTGTTTTCTAATTTTTCAAGATTTCTCTGCATCAGTTTAGTTTAAATATATGAATACATGGACTTAAAAACTAACAAGGTAGAAATTTACATTATTACATAAACATCAACTCTCTATACTGTGACCATAATGTCCAGTATCTTGAATCTAGGGAGTACAAAGAAATATCTACTGAGTGACTGAATGAATATAATTTAAATTCTCTCCACTGGGGGGCTGTAATAAGAGGGGGTATAATTTTCAAAGAGCCTACTTGAAAATTAGGCTCTCAAATAAAAAAATTGTCACGTAACATCTAAAATATGGAGCATGACTTTTGAAAACCATTGAAGATTACAGATAATATAAAGATAAAAATAGTTTGAGGTAAATATTGCATATGCTTTTTTATGGATCAAGTATGGAGTCTTAGATTTCATTTTAACTATAGAACACTTGTCAATAGAAGACTTGCCAATTCTGTAGCATTAGCTTCTGCAGTGTAGCAAATGTGTGTGTGTGTGTCTTTGTGTTTGTATTATAATATAGTACATGTAAAAATAGTGACGAACTGTGAGTCTTTTTATTATCAATTAATTATTAGATACTGTCAAATAATTTATCATTATTGATTCATTCTTTTATATGTAGGTTTTGCTGCTAATTATCAAATTGAATTACATGGAAATAGCAATAGTAAAAGTTCTAGATACTGAATCATTGAATATAAGTTAGCTCAAGGCTAGTAGCACTCAAGGCTTGAGGCACAACGTCACTTCCAGTTTTCTGGTAGTTTACTGGTGATAAGAGTTTCATGGACTTGGGCTGGGAAGGTGGCTCAGTGGTAGAGTGCTTGCCTCGCATGCATGAGGCCCTGGGTTGGGTTTCTCAGCACCACATAAGCAGAAAATTCCTCAGCACCACATAAGCAAAAAGAAAAAAGCCAGAAGTGGTGCTGTGGCTCAAGTGGTAGAGCACTAGCCTTGAGGTGAAGAGCTGAGGTACAGCGCCCAGGCCCAGAGTTCAGGCCCCATGACAGGCACAAAAAAAACAAAAAGAGTTTCATGGGCTTTCCTGCCAGGTCTGGCTTTGAACTGTGATCCTCAGATCTTAGCCTCTTGAGTCATTAGGATTACAGGTGTGAGCCACCAGCACCCAGCTGCACATAAGGTGTTAAATGTGGACCAATCATGCCGATGGTTATTCTGCCATTAAAACTAACTTGAACTTCACAGAAAAATTTGTTTCAAAGGGATAATGTTTCATTTTCCATGTGATTAGCTCTAGTAATTTGTAAACAGATACATACCTTGAGGAGAACTTCACACGCTGTGTATGATTGTGGTTGTTACGCATAGAAGAAGATCTCTCTTGGACCTTAAAGACACAATTTAATACTATGGTAGAAAAAAATCTCGATCTTAATTGATTAGAAATGCCTTCATTTATACTTTCTTAAATATGCAGCATAGAATTTTTAAGTATGTCCTATTTTCATAGTTACTTTTAATACATTAGAACTGTGTAATGTAACCTTTGATGACTTATTTGAATTTTAGCACAGGAACAAATTCTTCAGATCATATAACCATGGTATTGTTGAAAAATTGGAGTTCTAACAATAAAAGTGACTTTTATAGTAATTTTATACCAACACAAAGGAACATCTAGGAAAGTGCTCTACCACTTAGGCCATGTCTCCAACCTAAAGTCAAAAGAAGATCTAAAATAGAATGAACTCAATATTTAAGAATTTAAGCTAAATATATTTTTTGGTTTTTAAATTTAATTTTATTGTCAATGTGCAGAGGGGTTAGTTACCTATGTAAGGCAATGAGTATATTTCTTGTCGAACATTGTTACCCCCTCCCTCATTTTTCTCCCACTTTTCATCCCTCCAGTCCTCTCCCTCCACAAGTCGTAAAGTTCATTTCCATCTCTTATGAGTGTCACTGCTGCATTGGTTTGTCCTTTATATGTTAATCACACATTTAAGATAACTCTAGGTGCTAAAAGGTAGTCATAAACACATACACATCATTAAAATCTCAATAATCTAAATATCCCATGTCAAAGAAAGGTGAGTTTTTGTTTGCAATTTGTACTGTTATAATCAGTGTTCCAAAGACCTTCTGCCTCAAAGGAGTTTGGATTTTTTCCTATTATTATTATTACTGTTGTTGTTGTTGCTATGTAGTTGTACAAAGGAGTTACAATTCCATAAGAGAATTTGGGTTTTTGTAATAATACATGTATCAACTACAACAGAGCACTCAATAAATATCACATAAAATGAGTCAGCTTTATCAATGGGGAAAACTGTTTCTGTTCACATTTGTATTTTTGTCTTGCTCATGTAGTTTTGAATCCCTAGATTTCTACTCACAGTATGCTGGTTACTTTAAAAAAATGGGCATTGTGATATTCATTGAGAACAAGATTTGTTAGAAAGGAAATATAGAAAACATGGACACACACACACAAAAAAAAGAAAACATGGACACAACAAAAAAACAAAAACAAAAACAAAAAAAGAAAGGAAATTTAATGATAAAATTTTTTAAATATAGAATTCTCATACTGATAAAATTACTCAGTTTCTACAAACTGTACTGGTTCTAATAAACTATTTTCTTGACAAAATGGCTTATCCAGGTTGTTTCATACTACTGATAGACTGTTGAGAAATGAAAAACACTGTCAATGTTCACATCTTCTGCTAACAAGTGTTTCTAAATATAACCAGTTGTTTGGTAGTATGTACCTGACTAATTTTTTCTACTTTTAAATCAGATAACTGGCATCACATCGACCCAGTGTAAAGTGCTCAATTTATGGAAGTGCTTTCAGGAAGATTTATTTATTTTATTTTATTCAGAGATGTGGTCTTGTTATTTTGCCTAGACTGGCCTTAAACACCTGGGCTCAAGTGATATTCCTGCCTTTGACCCCAAATAGCTGAGTATGGTACCATTAAAGGTATGCACTATTAAAGATCTCCTGCTGAAGAGTTTATCAACAATAATAAAACAGTCCAAAATCAAGAAGAATTGACACTGATGACAACTAGCAAAGATAAAGCATAGAAAGGGAAAAGGGAAACAATTAGTAATATACTAGGAGATATAATGAGTTCCAAGCCAAATACAGCACCTTACATTTCCTGATTACAGTGTGATGCTTAAGGTAAGAATTATTGCCTGCAAGTACAGTTATTTACTACAGTGGAGATGCTTCCTCTCATTAAATAATGCAGTCTAATTTATGATCCTGCAAATGGCTAGTATTTATAAAGCAATATGTTTAGTTACTTACTGCAGATGACTGTTAGTATCAACGGAAAACTATATTTTAAAATAATTATCTGAAAGACTTCATAGTAACCTCAGAAACATTTAATGCTACTTAATAACTTGTACTAAGTACAACATTAGGGCTTCTGACTTACCATCAGTAAAGCAAGAGCTAGTGTTCTTTTTTTTTTTTTTTGTCAGTTGTGGGGCTTGAACTCTGGGCCTGGGCGCTGTCCCTCAGCTCTTCAGCTCAAGGCGAGCGCTCTACCAATTGAGCTACAGCGCCACT